GGAAAAAAACTATTCGAAAGGGCTTCAAATAAAAACCTTAAAGGCTTAATAGAAATTACAGTAACCATACCATTGTACCTGTCAGTATTGTTGTTGAGGATGTCAAGAGTGACATCAAAGTGCAAACAAACGCGGGGACGTCATAATGACAGTTTAAAGATGGCCTTCCCACTTTTGGCATGCACCTAGGAGAAGCAGCGTTCTGTGTCCATTTTGTGTTTTGATCAGAGAAGGAGTGAAAACTACCGAAATTCATCGGCGAATGAAGTTCCAGTATAGAGATGCATACTTGTCAGTCCAGTAAGGTATGAGTGCAGTAAGTAGTTTCAAAACAGCGTAACTTCGGTGACAGACTTTTCACGACAGGATCAGACACACCGAGTAGTGACACCAGTGTCGACTGCAGCCGTTGAAGACCTCGTACAGGACAACCGCTGATTTACTATGAGTGACACCAGAGTCGACTGCAGCCGTTGACGACTTCGTACAGGACAACCGCTGATTTACTATGAGTGACACCAGAGTCGACTGCAGCCGTTGACGACTTCGTACAGGACAACCGCTGATTTACTATGAGTGACTCTGCTGCACATTTGACATCTGACAAGCTTCAGCACACCATATTATCCATGATGTGCTACGGTACCGCAATGTGTCTGTAAGGTTACTCCAGAACTGAAACAACGACACATTGATGCTCTTCAATAACATTTGCGGCGTTCGCAAATAGAAGATGGTGGTTTCCCCTCGAAAACTGTTACAGGAAATCAAATCTGGGTTTACTGCCAAGATTAATTTCTGCTAGTTTTTCTTCCTTCACTCATTTTTTTTTTCAAGCAAAGCGGGTACAGGACGCTGCTTTTCGCTATCTTTAAACTGTTATTATGACGTCGCCGTGTTTAATGTTTCAGGTTCTCATTTGAAGCGTCATCGTACTTACTAGTGTTATAAAAAGAAGATTGCGATTTTAATGCAAGTTCTATTCTTATCCGTCTATGTGACATTGGCCACAACATTTTTGTGTCGACAGCAAATCATCTCACATGCAAGAAACACAAATAGAAATTAACCAAAAAACAAGGTCTCATCAAGAGAGCAAACATGAAACGATAAGGGGTAAAAGAACAGTTACAAGAGAAAGTAGAGAATCATTCAAACAACGATCACCTGTAAGGGGCAATACTGAGGTTAAGTGGGGAGAATATGAAACCACTATGCTTAGTACTGCCGAAAAATTATGCGGAAAACGGAAACGGGGAAACACTGAGTGGTAACAAATATTCACCTCTGTGGTGATTTAGTTATTACAACACATGTGGTACAGCTAATGCAATTTCTTTACCATGAACAACAAGCAGAAGGCAGAGTAACTGGTGAAACAGGCTATGCACAAAAGCACAGTGCGGGCAAGGGAAGTAAGAAATATGAAACTTGCTTATTAGACAGAGATTGAAATATTTGAATATTTAGGCTCATCGATGAACAATAATGGTGATAGCACAAAAGAAGTAAGAAAGAGACTTGCTTTAGCAATGCAGAGGCTAACCAACATGAAGAACTTAGGGCTCAGCACCTGCAAGCAAGTCAAAGTAAAATATTTAAGATAATACATTTTTCCTGTGGCAACTTATGGATGTGAGTCGCGGACTCTCACTCAGTCTTTGAAAAAGAAAGAAAAAATCAGAGCTTTTGAACTGAAATGCTACAGAAATATTCTTAGAATACCATTGACTAAGAAGAAGAAAAATGTCGACATCCTGCATGAAATAAACATCAAGGAGAACTGGCTCGGAAACGGCATCCTGTCCCAAAAGCTGTGTTATTCTGGACATGTCAAGCGTCATGGTGGTCTAGAGACAACGGTGATGGAGGATCCAATTTCTGGAAAAAGAAGCAGAGGCCGGCCTTTGTAAAGGTGGATACATAAAATTTAAGATGCACTGGTTATAAAAGCACAAAGAGCTGGAGAATCGGTTAAAAAAGAAAGACATTAATGCGTGACGTAAAGAGAGTGACGTTCTGTGAAGGAAGTGACGTAAAGAGAGTGACGTTCTGTGAAGGTTGTCCTTTATGACTGAATGATTGACTGGTGACATAAACTACAGACTGCAAGGAACATTAGCCAGCCGGAAGGTCAAAATCCTGGGAATGTTTCAGGGAGTCATTGGCAGACAAGGAGAAATCAGCTAGCAAAACATTTTTTCAAAGTAGTAAAAAGTATACAGAAAAAGACAAAGTCGCAACCGTACATAAATAATTAATGAGACAGGAAAGCCATATACAGAACCGCTAGAAATAGCAGAACGATGGTAGAAATACTTACTTCAATGAGCTCTTTAACCTCTTAGAAGATCACGAGGAAACAGCAACTTAAATGAAAGAGCAACAATGCTAGAAGCAAATATGAGATAAGAAAGAAAAGTCATTAAGAGCATCCCAAAAATAAAGCACCAAACATTGATAGAATACCAATAGATATATTGCGAACAGCAAATGAATGCAACGGTAAATGACTTCACAGAATATTTGATGCACCATGAGTACAACAAATTGCCGCTATTGACTGGCAATGTGTGCAGTTGTTAGATCATCGTGGGAGAACAAAGGAAGCAGCGGGATGACATCCATTACGGAGATACCTGTCTTTTAAATCATGTTGGCCAAACGTATTGGAAGAAAATAGAAACGAGGCTGAAACCAGTGACAGAACCACTGTTATTTTAAGAACAGACATGATTTAGAAGACATAGAAGCTACCTAGATGTAATCTTCGCACTTAAACGAATTATTCTTTGCTGATGACCAAGGATTCTTCTTCTTCGCGTTCAACAGCTGTATACTCTGGAGGAAAGTTCTGATTGTTCGTCCACTTCTGAACTGCAGTCCTGCTCCAGAACCTGAGTGTTGCATATGCATTAGTTTTATAGATCTGATTCCCTTGAATGCAGACTGTTGGTTCCTTGCCTCTCATGCAGATGTACTCCGACTTCAAAGAAAGTTCCCCAATTAGTCGACTCTTACGACATGCTTTTGAGGAGGCTGTGGGTCTGTTCTTGTTTTGCCCACAATGGGACCTCGTGACCACACAGGGGTGGCCAAGGATTCATAGAAGATAAAGCTAGGCAACTTTTCACATCTGCGAATGAAATGTAAAACAAATAGCATGCGAATCAACACTGAAAATACATAAATAATGTTAACAGGAAAACAGAAAATAAAAATATAAATATAGCAGTAGAGTGCAAAAGGCAATAAACATGAATCAAAGCTTCAATTTCTGGGAACAACATTAAGCGAAGATGTGAAATTCGATTAAGAAATTACGATCAAATGTAGTAAAGCAAATTAATTATTGGGACAGTTAGCCTCCCTCTTGTAGTACAAGACAATCTCAGCCCGCACAAAGAAATATCTTATACAAAGCGTATTAATTCCCACTATATGCCGCCAATACTAGAGATGGTTGGTTACTCACAACAAACAAGAGGGAGGGGGGGGGGGGGGGGACAATCGAACCATGGAAATAAGATGACTGAGAATTTCCGAAGGAAATACCAGAAGAGCAGAAGAGATAAAATTATGAATTAGGTCATAAGAGTAAAAGTCTCACATAATCAATTCTACATTACATGCAAAGACAGGAAATCAAACGGCTTGCCCGCTTAGAAAGAGTGCCTTGTGTTGTGAAGCCAAACCAGACAAGACTTGAATCACAAGAGAGGGGCAAAGAAGCACAAGAAACACCAAAGACGGGGGAAACATAACATGGCAAAACTCTACAACAGCATTGCGTTTCTATGATGGAGGCGGCCAGAAGCAGAACTTGGTATCTCCCTCAAACGCAAATCGATAAAAGAGGAATAGGAGAAGAAGGAGAGAGGACGGCATACAATTTGGTGACTGTAAATTATTGTTGAATAAAACAAACATAAACTGCTACACTGTATTGACGTTACTGGTAGACTGTAATTTGATACTCAAAGTAGAGTTATTGGATACATACAGTGATTGTAAATGTATAATTTTCCCTGAATGTCTTAGCATACATTTACTCCTATAGTCATGATTTTACTTTTTGTTGAAGTTCTGTCCCTTCCATCGGTGAATACAAACAGAAAAACAAGCGATAGACGATTAAACACAGTTTTTAAATTGTATCCAGGGTTGTCATGAACAAATTAAAGAAACACACTTGGCCCTTCTCCGTAGTTAGCGGCAAATTGCTTTCTTTTGCGTCTCTGTACAGAAGTACAGACTGTTCTCTTACATGACATCTATTATTTCAAGGGAGGGGACGGGGGAAGAAGAAGAAGAAATTGGGAGGGGGGGGGGGGAGGGGTGATCAGTGTCTCACTCATGAGATCCATCAAAATTGATAGTAATTTTGTTATAGGGGAAATAACACGAGACCTAAATTATTATTATTTTGCGTCTAATACAAAAATGCTTGCTGTCATTACTCTATCACGAGAGGCGATCAATATTTCGTAGTTTACCGCTCTTTAAATGTGCATATAATAGTTGGATTTGGACAAGGAGAAATTAGCAAATGGTCAATGAATGGTCAATAAATCTACAACATCATGCGAGGCTAACTTTCTTAGTGCCATATAGGTAAATATGCCAAAATGTATCTTCGAAGTTAGTTACTAAAGTTTAAAAAAGAAAAGTAAAGATCCCTTGTCACGCCTTTAGGCGCATCGGGCATATGGGAAGAGCACCCATATTTTTACAAACCAATCGGCACTCGGTGGGTAATGAGGTCAGCATTACGCCGACCGTCTTTACTCACCCAGGACTTCGAAGTTAGTGAGTGAGTTTAACGCCTTAGAATTTTCAAGTACCAGTGTTAGATTTCCAAAGCCGACTGTTGTACTAAAAACAAAAAGTTTTCATGGTTTTCGGCTTTGTAAAAAACAAAAGTGATTTTGGCTACTTAAACGCACAACATACAAAACCTGAAATTTCAAGCCAAATTTAGTCTGAATATTTCATTCGATATGTCCAACACAAATCTAACAAAACTCACCAACGGAGAAAATCACAAACAACTGACGAACACTTCTACAAGACAGGTACTGTTAGCCGATGAAGCTCTCTACTATTTTCTCTTAGTCAACTTTTGGGGTCCGGCTTTAGCCGTGTGCATTCTTGGAATTTTCACAAATATTCTCAACATAATTGTCTTTTCTAAACAGGGCCTGCGTGACACTGTCAACATAAGCCTCTTTGGTCTGGCTACATCAGACTTGGGTTCCCTGATTACGTTGCTTTATGCAAATATTTCCTTTATGCCAGCTTTTATGGCGCTAGATCTGCCATTTGTCGGCAGTGACGTCATGTATATTTCGACCCTGTGTCATCTAATATTTACCAGAGTCAGCACTTGGATAACCGCTTACATCACTTTAGAGAGATGTCTCTGTGTTACTGCGCCGCTGAGAGTCAAGAATTTGTTTACGCCCAAGAGGACAGTACTGTATCTTATTGTTGTCTATGTGTTGATGATTGCAAGCGCTTGTCCAATGTTCTACACTACTCGACCAGCCAAAATTTTTAACCCATTAAAAAACAGGACCTTGCTTGGAATATCCTTTATAGAAGACCGAAACAAAATAGAGGCTATCGGATTTATGACAAACAACACAATCCCAACATTGGCATTCTGCACAGTGGCAATCTGCACAGCAATTCTTGTCTCAACTTTACGAAAGAAATCAAAATGGCGTCGACAAGCTACCACGTCCACTGCCAACACTGTCGTAACTGATAGAGATGGTAAAGTAGTCAAAATTGTGATACTAATATCGACTGTATTCATTATTTGTTACTTACCCGGAACCGCCGTTTTTGTGTACATGATGTTGGACTCTGATCTGCGAATTGATGGATTTCACAAAAATATTGTAATTGCAGTGTTTTCAGTCTTGTTTCATCTGGAATCCATCAACGCCGGTGTTAATATTTTTATATATTTGAGCATGAGTTCAAAGTATAGGGTAACATTTATGTACGTGATGTGTTTCAAATGTGATACAGTGTCAGGGTGGAAGAGACCAAAATAAATAAATATCAAATGTTTACTGCAGAGATCCGTACCCATTATGTTTCTTTGATGCTGTCTAGGAAAGGAATTCTTAAGCCAATACAAGATGTTTGTTGTATTTTTTTGTTGTTGCTTTTGCTGATGTTGTCGTTGTCGTTGTTGTTGTTGTTGCTGATGGTGGTGTTGCTGCTTCTGCTGCTGCTGTTATATTTATACAGTTTGAAACAGAGAATGAGAAACAGAAGGTTTATTTCAATAAATAATTTAGGCTTCAATGTAACGCCTGCAAAAGTCAGCTCAAATAAACGTACGAAACGAAAGTCGTAATCGGTGTGGTGGCAATCTCTTTTGATGGAAATGTAAGTGAAGAACCTTTCGAACACAGCACGGGGTGTTTTAAGTATATAGTACCATTGATGCATTTAAAGACACATCGACATTGTATGCGGTCAATATGACACCCTCTTCGGATATCTCTTAAGAAACTTTCTTGAATGATTTTTAGTCGTCGTCTTCTTCTTTAGTCCTGTCCTGCCTTCTGTCGTTTGATTTTGATGGGACATCAGGAGTGAGCCTTGGTGTGTACTGCGAAGATGCTGGTATCTACGACCTATGAGACCTATGATATATATATATATATATATATATATATATATATATATATATATATATATATATATATATATTAGGTCGTCGTTAAATATCTCAACCAGCCACTGTGAGAGATTCCTGGTTGAAGTGATTAGCTACTTCCCCGTTTTGTGCGATATGCAGAAGCGCTTGTGACTGGGAGCTTAGTCACTTTGATAACCAAGCCCCAATAAATTCTTAAGTGTGAGGTTCCCCTCCCCAAAACACACACATTTTCTAGGTTTTGGTGGCCCTAGTGTCATATTTATTTTTATTTTTTTTTCTGTTGTCCTTAGTATATCCTGATTATTCTCTCCCTCCCCCCCCCCTCCCCCACCGAATATGATATAGTATCCTTTTTTTTTTTTAATTTGGCAATTTTTAATATATTCAAATTACAGTATTAACAAGGAATGCGCGAACGAACGAACAAATAAACTTTACTTTCAAAGAGTGCAGAATTGGCTACGCAGGCTTGTCTAACATTCTTCCCTTCTATAGTCTCTCTCATTTCTTACATCTTTTCATCCACACATTAAGTAAAAGTAAACATTATCGAACCTGGCACCCTAAGATTACGAAACGTCTTTGCAACGCCTAATCCGCAGACACCGACAATGTTACAGTAAGGGGCTGAAAAATGTTCAAGTGACTGTGAAATGGAACGGCTGAAAGACATTTTACTTTAAAGGCAAAGGAAATATTTCGAGTGTATTATAAGACAACGCTTATAAATACCATACTAGAGAAAAAAATGAAGAGACGTTGCTAGTCCATACTGTTAGATTGTAGTGTTTCATTGACAAATTGTAATGACCGGTACAAATGTGGCATGTATTAAACTTTAGCTGTGGTTCGTAAAGTCCAGTGTCCGACAAAGTGTGTTACGTTGTAGATAGGAATTGTTACACTTAAATCTCACAGAGCAGACATATTTACGAGAACAGTTTAGACTCCTTTTTCTGTAGTTCTATCTCGTTATAGGAAACAGGGTCATGCATTGTTTGTGGCAATAGCATCTGCCGACACACCTTCAGCCCTCACTCGGCGTGTGCCGCAGAATCCTTGGCATCGGGAGACAGTGGCTCTAGGCAGCACTTTACGGTAGAGTGGTAGGTGTGAGCTCAGAGCTTTTTTAATGAAGTTGTAAAGGCGCAAGTAGCGATTTTAAAAACTAGAGAGGCCTGGTTCTAAAAAAGGAGCCCTACCACCCCTGAGGCTATTTGTATGAGTTCCAACTCTTTCGTATTAATGATTGTGTGTGTGTGTGTGTGTGTGTGTGTGTGTGTGTGTGTGTGTGTGTGTGTGTGTGTGTTCCACGGCGTTTCGGTTGGTTTGTTCTTTAGCAGATTTATCTGTCACCGGCCTGAAAAGCAGCCATAGATTAACTCACTAGTCACGCAGGTCTTTGACAACCCTAGACACACAGGTCTTTGACACCCTAGACACACAGGTCTTTGACAACCCTAGACACACAGGTCTTTGACAACCCTAGACACTCAGGTCATTGACAACCCTATACACAGGTCGTTGACACTCCTAGACACACAGGTCTTTGACAACCCTAGACACGCAGGTCTTTGACAACCCTAGACACACAGGTCTTTGACAACCCTAGACACACATGTCTTTGACAACCCTAGACACACAGGTCTTTGACAACCCTAGACACTCAGGTCTTTGACAACCCTAGACACACAGGTCTTTGACATCCCTACACACACATGTCTTTGACAACCCTAGACACACAGGTCTTTGACAACCCTAGACACACAGGTCTTTGAAACCCCTAGACACACAGGTCTTTGACAACCCTAGACACACAGGTCTTTGACACCCCTAGACACACAGGTCTTTGACAACCCTAGACACACAGGTCTTTGACAACCCTAGACACACAGGTCTTTAAGAACCCTAGACATGCAGGTCTCTGACAACCCTAGACACACAGGTCTTTGACATCCCTAGACACACATGTCTTTGACAACCCTAGACACACAGGTCTTTGACAACCCTGGACACACAGATCTTTGACACCCCTAGACACACAGGTCTTTGACAACCCTAGACACACATGTCGTTGACAACCCTAGACACACAGGTCTTTGACAACCCTAGAACACATGTCTTTGACAACCCTAGACACACAGGTCTTTGACAACCATAGACACACAGGTCTTTGACAACCCTAGACACACAGGTCTTTGACAACCCTAGAAACACAGGTCGTTGACAATCCTAGACACACAGGTCGTTGACAACCCTAGACACACAGGTCTTTGACAACCCTAGACACACAGGTCTTTGACATCCCTAGACACACAGGTCTTTGAAAACCCTAGACACACAGGTCTTTGACAACCCTAGACACACATGTCTTTGACAATCTGATTCTGGGACATCAGCAGTCTGCGAGAGTCTCTAGGGTAATGCCTACTCAGAGAAGGAAGTCGCCGTCGTGTAGCGGCTAGTTTTCGCCTGCGGATCGGAAGATCGCGGATTCAGGTTCTGGCGCAATAGATTGTTTTCACAAATGACCTTGACTCCCAAGTCGACTGACCTTGATGGGGTATCATGTGCAGTCCTAGGAAGTAGAGGCCGGCTGGCGTGATGCTGAACATATCACCCACCAAATGCCGATTGGTCTATATAATATAGGTCTAGCCCTATATACCCAATACGCCTAAGGGTTCGGAAAGGGGTCCTTTTCTTTTACTTACTACTCGATGAAGTCAAGCGTGAATAAAGAAAATTGCATTCAGGACGAAGATTAAATCGTTATCATATAGAACAGTACCGATCAGCTCTGGTCATCATGGTTCGTCCCCGGCCAGCATGATAGTCATAGTTGTGAACACCGTATAGCCCAGTGATCACCCTGGGAGTTGAACAGGACATTATTTCTTTGTAAACTACTCCTACTACTCAACATAGTCTCGGATCTAGCTCTGGCTATCGATCAATAAGTTAGTTTGTCCCCTCCAGGCTACTACCTAAAGGTTTGCCATGCCATCCTTAAATTCAATTATCTCAGTCTAGACGGAAGATCAACAAGGCGAATCCGAGATACCTGTTCAAACCCAAAGAAGATCTAATTAGGGCTTCCGTAACGTCTCTACATGCCAGGTGTAAAGTGCGGTCCTCTGTGGGTAAGGACATCTAGCTAGCCCTGGCTTGCTCTGTTCTCCCATCAATTTGTCAGCAATAATTACGTGTTCAATTTACCCTATCCTCATTGTGGATTGGCAAATCTTTGTAGGTTTAATTTATTTTAAAATATACGGTTTGTTTTGTTTCTAGAAGACTTTATTCGTTGTTCGTTTTTCTCCCCGTCCCTGATAAGTTAAGTGCATATTCATTACAGGACGCTGCAGAACAGCTTAAAAATTTTGTGGCTGTGATTTTACTAAGCAATTTTACCTATAGTAGTTTGCTACTGCTCACTAACTCTTTCATGATTTTTTCTGGGGTTTGGACAGCATTAATTGTGAGCGGAATTTTTTTTAGTGCAACACGACAAAGATAAAACCTTCCTGAAGAAAAAGTATTGGCTGTATCGGGACTTATAATATATCAAATTAAAGATAAATGAGTGCAGAATAAATCTAAACTACTTAAATTTCAGTATAACAACAAAATGTTATTAAAAATCACACAACAATCAAAGATGTTAGACACAAATGAACATTTTTGACATAGAAAATTGTGTGCTTACCTTATTTTTTTTACTGGTTCAACAACACTGCTATCCAATTATAAGAATACATATGCCTTCTCTGTTCATTTATGTATTAGCTAGTCTTTATTTGAGACAATTAATTTAAATACATTGGATATTATAATCATTTTTGTATGACATGTCAATTTTAACAACAACCGAAAATCGGAAAAACAGCTGATCGAAACATTGATCTGATTGAAATATTTTGTGAAATTTTCATATCCTAAAATTAATTATCGCTAGTATATTTGTCACTTAGATATCAATCATAATATCAAGACTGCTATCACCCTCTGGCAGGGATTCATCGGCAATAGAGCAGTATTGACAGATCTATGGCTTTTCCCTTATGATTTAGTATAGAAAAATCACGTAAAAATTGTATTCCATCTAAAAAAAAAATTTTAAATCACAAAATAATGCACCGCCACGATGAACGTCGCAAATGAAAGTACTTCCTGTTGTTAATCCTAATTGTTAAAAAACGTGTACATAAAAGTTCGGTTTACCTACAAACGGAACAAAATTAGAGTGTCTCTATCATGATCCAGTAAACTGGCTTTACGTCCGTAAGTGATTGACTTCATGTCCAGTAAACTGGCGATTCGTCCGTAAAGAGTACCTATTGGCTACAATTATCTTTGTTGAAATTAAAGCAAAGTGTTTTC